AACACTCCTCCCTACCAGTAGCATGACCAAAAATGCACTTCTGTTTTGACTATTTGACAGAAAAGAGTTTTATTGACAAACTATCATTTAAAATATGTATCGTCCTTTCTCTAATATATGATATGTAGTTTTCATAAAATATTCAGATATAATGATATGTCCAGATACAGCATAAAGAAGAAATAATAGGTTTTTTTTCCCTAAGATGCAATAACTTGTTTTGATACTCTAAAATAAAACTATGAGAATTATAGAATAATCTCCAGTCATTGATATCAACACCCTTACTGGAAGCCACTTATTGTGATCAATAAAAAGCTGACAACATTAAGCAAAGGATAAAAGAAAACTTGGAACAGTATCTGTTGAAGTCATTGTTACATTGTTTTATTTTTTTTTTAATGCCATGCCCTTTAAGGTGATTATAGGTCTCCACAGCTTCCTTTTTCTTTTCTCTTTTTAATGTCCTGATTTCTTTCAGAAGGAATGGTTAGGTCTTTCATTGCCTTCACAATTCTGAATTTATTTTTCTTTTATTTTGGCTGCCATCCAAGGCTAGAGAGCTCAACTTAACAAAAGTGAAGGGCATTTGAGTGAAAGTAAATGCAACAGAGGATTCAAGAATTTGATTGATTGATTCAACTTTCTGTACTGGTAACTATTATACTACCTGTATATCTACATTTGACATTATCAGAAAAAATGAAATTGACTTGCAGTTAATATTTGATTTATTGAAATCTAACTTAGAAAATGTTTCAGACTCACTGATTTTGATAACAATAACCATTTGATGACATATGTGATTATAATAAGTGGCTATAGTATATGTAATAGTATGCTATAATATGCATACACATTGGTCATTTACCAAACTTAGTTTAATCTGGCACAAGGCTGTAAATGTGAAGCACCAAGCAAAGATTTAATATTTTATTATCTGTAAAACTAGTTAGCTAATTGTTCGCTAATTAAGCACAGCCACAAACATGGGGTACCCAGTAAGGGCTGAACTTCACCAACGTTTTATAGTATCTGACGAGACTATATATTTACTCAGCTTTTGGAGTGATATTTCAGTTGTGTTTTCAAATTTAATCTTCAAATTTGCTTTCGTATTATATTTGTTGGTTTGGTTTTTTTTCTTTGTAATAACTTGTTTTTTCACATTGGAAAAAGTATGTTATACATCAGGATTTCAATTTTGTCTTTCATTTTCTGATAAAAAAAATGTCTATTCAAAAATATGCAATTGGTGATCCACGAGAAAAATGATTATCTAGTTTGAATAAAGTCGTGTGGATGTGATTTTGCCTGAAAATTATTAGTATCCATTGCCATAAGTTTCAAAACCAAATTATTCCATGATCGATTTAGAATAATGTGTTCAGTTTTTTATCATGTTCCTTGTGGCAATAACGGTTATGTGAAGATACTGGTCTTCTCTCCATGTATGAGGATGTCTAATGTTCTGCATGTCAAATTGTTCAATGATCCTAGCTCTCTGCCTTGGATTTTAAATAATCATAATTGATGACTGATGGTCATCCTTTTTTGTGTATTATGTCAAGAGACAGCACTTAAAACACTAGCCTTAAAACTTTTGACACAAGTCAACTCTTAAAAGACTAAAACTACTTCTAGCCAGTACTGTTCAATATTGTTTCATTTCCTTCTACTTCGTGAATTTTGTGAGCATCTTAAGTGGCTTTGAGACTCAATTAAAAATAATGCTTCAAAATTGCTGGAGTCCAAAGTTAAATTTATTGAATTAGCTGTTGAATATCTCGACTCTGGAATTGATGGAATCGCATCCACTCTTCAGGAGATTTGATAATGAACTGTCAAATTTATTTAACTTATTATTATTAATGCTGTATTGCTTGACTGTTGCATTAAACTTATTATCTTCCAATGTTTGCCTGAACAACTGTTTTTTGGTGAAATACAGTGTTATTGTCGTCATATAACAAACACTGTGATTTACAAAAAAGTAGTTAAAATGTAAGGTAGGGACAGATAGGAGAACATTTAATTTTATTTGTTGTTATATTTTAATTACTTCAAACATTTTTAGTGAATACCTGGATTTGAGATACATACCTGTTTTTTATTATCAAACTGTGTATTATGTTTAAAGTAATAAAAATGTCAGCTTTTTATCCATTATTTCTTTAAAAATTGCTATGTTTACATTTCGGATACAAAATTGAACAGATATAGGCTTTGGAGAAAAATCTGAACAAGGAAGTGCTCATATCTTGAAAGAGGGAAATAGAACTTTGCTGGGCTGTGACCCTGGCTGAGTGGTCTAAAGAACACTTGATCAATGATGGTTTCTTCTACAAAGGGAGACACAACGTCAACCCCTGCTGGAGAACATATTTTCTTAAGTTTTTCAAGTAAACAGTCTGTATGGTGTAATACACAAAATAAAAAAATACAGGCCATCATCTTATGAATAATCAAGAGTGGTCTCCCCTTGTTTTCTTACTCTCCTCTTTGAGAGAGCTATTTCTGTTTACTGGGACTATAAATGGACACTATCCACGAACCTTGTATTCTCAGTTGAATAAAGCTTTCTTTAAGCCTACATCTGCATACCTTTGTCATTACACATCTATTTTAAACACAGGTATCGATTAAAAATAATGTTTGAAGTAATAAAAATGTTGGATTAAAAATAAATCTATTAATTCTTTAGAAATTGCTTTGTTATGATATTCATGATGTAGTGAAGTGTTGGCCTTTTAGATGCATGTGTAAATAAAGTAAACGTTTGAGTAAATGCTTGTGAAAAAAAATGAAAATGGTTCTGATAAGCCAAAATAAATGACTTAGTTATGTGTTATAAGGAACAATAATTAAAATTAATAAGTATGGATTTAATTTACAACCAACTGGATACTACATATAGTTCCTTACCAACTTAGTCCAGTTTCCAAATTATCAAGTAGCCAATGATCTATGTAAATTATCAATTTACTTCATGCTAATAAGAATTAAAAACATTTCCATAGATAGACTTCTGCTGATGATTTTTTAAAAATTTATTTTGTGAATTTGAAACTTAAACAAGTAAACTCTTTCAGATTCAGAAATTTGTATGAACAGATAACTCTCCTGTGCAGTGTGCCCTATCTTGTGAATAGTGTTTTTTTTTTTTTATTTTTGTCTGCCTCTATCCTCCTTTCTGATGACCATCGAAAAGGCTATTTAAATTGATTTCTCTCTTTCTTTTCTTTTGTAATATTATGAATTAATTATTATCGCTCAGCAGACTAGATATATGTATATATACTAGTTTCAGTACCTGTTGCTTTCTTAACAGCAAGTTGATCAGGTTTCAAATCTAAATTGTTTTTCCATACTATAAAATACTATATTTGTTAGAAAATATATTCAGTTTAAATGCAGAAGTCATAAAAATAACTTGAAAGTGCTGCTTTATACTCTTTTCCTGTTGCCAAAGAGCCATTACCAGACAGAGTGGGAAATTATCTCTTGCAACACAGATGTCCCTATTATTCAACCAAAACATGTCTATGTACTTTTGTGCTTGTGCATGTATATTTTAATAAAACAACTGACGTAAAAAATATTTCTGCAAAATTAAAAAATATTTTCAGATGATTTCCAAAAAGTTCAATAAAGTCTTATACTAATATTTTTAAGATTTAAGTTTTTTGTTGGGATGTCTTCAATTTCATGAGTTTCTTGCTTATCTTAGGATAGGAGTTGTCCAGACAGAGTAGCAAATGAATTTATTATTCAAATGTCTTATTTCAAAGTCAGTCAAATTATGTGTTTGTATACATTAAATAACACATTCACATATAAGTCACTCATGTATAACACAGACATGTGCATATACATTGCATACATGTGCAACACACACACACACACACACTCTCAGTGTCTGTACATATATATATATATAGTGTCTGGTGTGCAAGATAATATTTGAAGCTATTGCTTGTGACTCTCATCCTGGTACTTGGGTGTTCCATTGTTGTGGCCTTGTTCCAGAACATGCTAAAAATAGGAAAATGCTACAAGGAATCATTATTTCATGCAAAGAAAAAACAGTAAAAGAAAAATGAATCAAGAAAAATACTTCAATTGTTGTAGTTTTGCAACTTGTCTCTAACTTTTGACCTGATTAACATCTATTTTGGAATCTAGTTGTGTCTTTTCTGTTCAGAAATTAACTGGAGAAAGATTTGTATTTGGAAAATATAAAAGGATTGATTTGACACTGAACTTGAAAATCTGGGTATTTATTTTAGAAACTGAGTGACTTGTTAATCATCTGGTATTTTTTTCACACACACACACACACACATATATATATATATATATATATATATATATATATATATATAAAACATAGAAAATAATATGTTCAGTTAACTTTTTTTAGTTGCTTTGTTTTAGCCATTTTTCCCTTACAAAGGTTATTTGGATGTTTCCAAAACCTTTCTTGATAGATTTTAAAGTGAATCCAGTTAAATGAGTTCTGAAATGTTATCAGCCTGACCCTTTTTCCAACCAAAGGAAGAATTTTTTTCTTTATTTTAGCATTTCCCTGTATATACTTGTGAAATTTTAAATACTTTCAAGCTTTTTATGACAAAACATGTTTTTTTCAAAATTCTTATAAGTTATAAACTGGCAATGTTTCGCAAATACAAAATGTTTTTTATTTCCTTTTTTTATTTTTTTTATGCAATGAAACAAAAATTCATTTGTCGTAGAAATGTTTGTAGAGTTTAAAAAACAGGTTTAAGCATTGGAATAGTGAGTGTGGGTAGAAAGCGAAAGTAAAATAGCAGACAAGTGAAAACATTTTGTACAAGAATATTTTCTTGTTGTTTTATCTGAAATGGAACAATGTTAATCAGTGAAGAAAGAATTGGCTGTTAGAAATCCCATACCCCTCCAACTCTAGTACTGTTTTACACCTGTTCCCCCCCCCCACACACTGCCTCAGCATCTTGTCATTCTCTGTCCTCTAACAGTATTGAAGAGACATCAGTAGATAACAACAAGGATAGATGGGTATACAAGACAGCCATTAGGAAAAAGAGAAAAAAACTAACACTTTTTGCATGGATTGGCACCTGCACCGGTGCCAATGCTGACACCTTGTAGATATGCTGACAGAAATGAGATTGGAGAGGCAGTTCTGAAGATAGAGGGAGAAGATGAAGGAGAAAAGTAGGAGTGAGAGAAAGAACTAAAAAGGTGAGGAGAATATCAAAGGAGAATAGAAAGACTTTAAAAGAAAGCAAAAAACAATTGGAGAAATGAGTGGAAGTGAAGAAATTGAGAGAGGTCGGTGGGGGGGATAGAACATGAATGGTTGTTGAAAAATACACTAAAGAAAAGAGAAAAAAACTGAAGAAGTGATGAATGGAACATTTAATCAAAATATAAGAAAGGGAAATTTGAGGAGTTAAAGCTTCCAGAAGGTTATTTTTAAAATATTGAGAAGGAAAAGGTGTCAGTTGAAATGAGAGATAGTATGAGGAGAGAAAGTAAGGAAGGTAACACTATAAAGGAGAGATGGGAGTTAAGATGGGAATAATTTGGATTAGAGGAAAGTAAAGAAAAGCGTGTAAGATCAGGTAACAAAAAAGGGAACGTGAATAGACCAGAAAACATTGAAAGATACGAAAACACAATAAAATAGGAAGGAACTGAGATGAAAAAAAAGAGGATAAATGAGAGAAAACAAGAAAACTTAACCTGTTGTTCATTTTTGAGTGGAGTAAGTTCAGTTCTTTGTACTTCACGGCTCTATTTCTGTAAGATATTATAGTTTGGTTTATGGCATCGAAAAATCATTCAGGTTATTTAACGCCAAACTCTGCTATACAGATGATAGGTAAATATAGTTTTGGTTTGCAGGAGAGTCAAAAAAGTTGGACATACGTTTAGTTTACAGTGTTATGCTGTTGAGTGGCCCAGGTGTGTATTTGCTACCCAGCTACTCAGTATTGAACTGATAGCCTTCAACTAATGTAAACTTGTGCCTTAATAAGTTGACCTGTTCCATCTGCAAGTTGAAATGGGTTCTGCCCATTGAGTTCTAAATAACCATAAGATTTTTCCATTAGAGGGAGATAAATCTATTTGCCTGGTGAAATTATATCAGATTAGATTGACATGCAGGAGAGTAAAAAAGGTGGACTGGTTTGGTCTGCAGGAGAATTGAAAAGTTGGACATAGTTATTGTAAATAGGTGGACCATTTTTTTGGTGCAGGATTTATACGGGAATTCAGTCAGTGTATTCTTGACTTCAACCAACAGGCAAAGCTTGTAGAAAGGTAAATAAATAGGTTTGTTTGGTATGTTAGGTAGTTTTACTCATTGATGTTTGAGACTAAGCTAAGATCTCAATTGCTGAATTTGTTTGAATGGCACTACCCAGTTTGAAGAATAGAGAGAATCACAATTTTCCTTTCGGCAACTTCCTCCTGTTTAGCTTTGTATTAAAGTAAGCTTAGTAAACCTGTAGAATTAGCAAATAAAAAGGTTGAGGGAAAAGAAGATACAGAATACAAGCTGCAAATGCTAGAATGGATATACAAAAAGATCCTTGAGTGGAGGGGGGGAGGGGTGATGAAAACATCAGAACAAGAAATGGAAGAGGATAAAGGTTGAATGTTACAGAGGTAAGAAGGAAAAGAAGAACTGGAGGGGAGCAGAGAGGACAAAAGTCGTTGGAAAAGGTGAAAGGTATAAGGTAGATGTCGAAAGTAAACAAAACAAGGACAGAGTAGGGTAAATGGAATAAAAATAAGATCTAAATAAAACAATGAGACAGCTGGGATTTAAATTGCAATTTTCAATTTCATGCTCATCAGCTTTGTGAAAACATCTGAGGACAGCTAAGGATGCAAGCAAAAGTATTGAAGAAACATTACCTTCCAGTTTCATGCACTTTGTGATGCATTTTTTTATTTGACTTTTCAGCTGACACCAGATTCATATCCTCAATCTTTTGGATATTTGGTAACAGTGTGGAAAAAGTCTAGTGATTCAGTGATATCATTCACACTGAGATGCCATTGTCCTGAAAAAAATGGTCTTGTTTATTCTTAACTAATGTTCACCCAATATAAAGACAGAGAGTCACTTAAGGTAGAGGGTGATGGAATAAGTTGTATGAAATGAACATAAGAGAGAGATGTCGGAAGTGAAGATTATGAGAACATGGTTAAGATTATAGTGTTTGGAAAAGCGTTCACGAAAGAGATTATTTCACAAAGTAGCAGTACTTAGGAAGAATCATTCAGAGTGGGATGCCCTTCTTACAAAATGAAATATGTGCAAAGTGAGGGTGATTCAATCCTGTAAAGGTCTGAACTGGTGGCATAATAAGAAGGGATGCTATTTTTGGCAAAACCTATTAATTACAGTGGTATTAGAATTAGCCAAGCAGCTTTGGTTGTGATAAATTTCCTGCCATTTTTGGCATACAATTATTTAGTTTGACTCCTCAACCAATCACACAATAATGGAAGCAAATTTATTGTCATGTTTGTTGTGAAAAGCTCTTAGGAAATGAAAACTGTAGTCTTCTCACATCAGTCAATTAACACAGTCTATTCTTTTGTTTAAAGAAATTAACTGTCTTCTGATTTTGAAACCTTTTAATTCTTTACTACAATTTTCTCACATATAGGCAAAACACTATAGCATATATAATGTGCATGCTTATATACAGAGTTGCTTAAAATTAAAAAAAAAGAAAGTATAATGATTCCATCTATTTCTGTACTTGTTCCTTTCCCAGATTTGTGCTACAGTAACAACCTGACCTTAACGAAATAGCGCCAGTTAAATCTCTTGAGTCTAACATTAATTACTGTGTGTTAACCTACCCTTATTTGGTGTAAATAGCTTTTAGGTACCATAAAAGGGAGCAATAGAGAAGGTGATGGTGAGAGTAATTGGAGGGTAAAAGTGACAGAAGGAACTTAGAAATGAGCAGAGGAAGGGGAAAAGAAAGGATAAGAAATCAAGCGGGGACAGCAAATAGAAAAGCAAGGGCTCAAGAAAAAAGATGAAATGAGAGATCAAAGAGTCAGTAAAACAAAGAAAGAGGGAGGAATGGGATAGTAAGAAGGAGATAAAAGTATAAAAGGAATGGATGATAGGGAAGAGTGATGCACAAATGTTGGCCATTTTGAAGGAGGTTTATCAAAAGACAGTTAAAGGAAGCCTTGGCATCAATACCAGCTGGGCATTGCATCTCAGTCATGCATTGCCAGAAATTAGATTAGGATGATCATATTAGCACCAAATATACTTTAGGCTATGAATTGTTATGTATCAATGTGATTATCAATATTGCATGCACAGCAGCCATCACTCTGTGTCTCATTTTGTCAACATCTTTTAAGTGGAGAATGTTTAGCACTGTATGCTCATTATAGCAACTGAGGAACGCTTCAATATGGATGAACCAGAGTCAGGAATAATAACAGAACTAACTCCCTCAGGGATGTAACTCTTGTGGTTATAGATACAGCTGTTGTTCTTGTTATTTGTTTCTCTGGAAATATTAAAGATAACTGTATCTTACAGAGTAGTTTGGATAATTTTCATTTCAGTTTTACTTTTAATTATATTTGACAATTTATAGTTGCTTAATGATATTTTTATTGGTGCATGTTAGTATCAAGTAGGGCAGTATAAAAAGCCAGGGGACTAAATCAGATATTAAGTTTTAAAGATTCTGAAATCTATATTTTTGAACTCCATCTTACAATTTTTGCTTGTACTTATTTTCTGGAATGAGACCTACAAACTTTTCTCTTGTGAAAGTTTGAGAAGATAATGTTTTAGAAAATGAAGGTTTATGATTTATTTTGAAAATTAATTGCCACAATGATTTTAAGAAAATGATACATCCCAGCTCAACAGCATTGCCATAGATTGGAGTCAAGATGTTTCATTCTTATTTTCAGCAAAAATGGGGTGGGTTGAAGTTCCCTAGTCCCTCTATAGCACCATGGATGGTTATATGATATTGCCAATGTGTTAGATTGGTTTACTCTTTGAAACCACACTCACTACCAATGGCTTGTGTGACTAAATTGTCCCTTGGTTTTCTGCAGAAAGTAAAATTGGTGAGCTGAGTTAAAATCTCCTCTAATCTGTTGTGTTCACAAATAACGTGAGGAAAGGAATTCATCTCTTCTTGTCTCCACTTAAGAAGCAGAGCAGGCTTAGGTGGCATCAACTCTAGGAGAAAAATTTTACAATCAATTCAAAAACTATGGCAAAACCACTCTATTAAAATGCTCTGGCAATGAGCTTGTCTATAAAATATATGGAATGACAAAATATCAGATTAAAACAGAAATAATGTTTTCATAGAATCATTTTAGTTTTGTAGAATTATTTGGTTCAGTGTGGAATTCATAAAGTAGGTTGATGTAAGATCAATAAATGAAAAACAGTAGAAAACATTCTCATTAAAACTGTTTGCACTGGAAAAAAAATGAAAATGTATATATGTTCCAGTGTTGAAACAAAGAATTACTGTGCAGGTTATCTAGTGCTAAAAATAATATCATTCTCATTTTCACAAGATATAAATCACTAAAAGGATGGGATTAAACACTGCAATTTATGTTGACTGATTAAATACTGTATGATGTCTGGCCACAAATTATTCATCAGTCTTGTGCATATAAAACATATATCTTGGAGTAGTAGATGCCAATATTTTATAGTAGACTCTAATTGTAGTACTGGTTTTTGATTATTTTTTTCTCAGACCTCGGATAAATAAATAATACCTTTTGAGTATGAAAAAAAAAGATTAATATGAAAAAAATTCCAGAAATAAATGCAAACTTTTAGAAACTATAATGAAATAAATCTGTGTATTGGATGGCTCCATAATTTTTAGTTTATTCTACAAATATTTCATTGGAGATATGGATATTTATCTGAAAGCCATATAAATTAAGTGAAATTGCAAACAATATTGTAACTATAACATTTTATTACCTTAGCAAAACTAATTAGGAAGGATATAAAAAGTGATAAATGGAAGTGTGTATATATAAAGATCTCCTTATTTGTATGCAATGTGTATGTGTGAGTAAAATCCTGTTAAAGACATTGAAGAGGTTCTTGTTGTTTGTTAGAATTATTTACTTGGAAGTTCTAAAGAGGGGAAACAAGACATATCTTGTCCCTATTGCATCCTGTGGAAAAGGAGAAAGCAAAAAGAGACCCGTTTTTACCTGTTTCTCTGACTGGCCAATTCACACGACACTCAACCAATCAAAATAAGACCCAGTCTCAATCCTCTGTTTCTCTACTGTCCCACATTTACAAGCAGCTGAATTCTACATCTGCCCCTTGTGCAAGTAGTTGACCCACCACCCCATGACTTGATTGCTAGTCTCACAAGTGCAGTGAGATACCTGATGACAGTGCAGTAAAACTGCACTGATATCACCTCTTCTCAGAGAGCAATCAGTGCACTATCATACATCTGTCCAAATATAATCTTATAATAAAATCTTAGTTAAGTCTGGTAAAAGGTCATTTTCAAGACACACTGTGGAGATCAGTCACTAGCAGTGGTTGACAAGAATAACTTGTTAGTTGTTGCTCATTGGCAAGCAACTCTCATTGTATTCTTCATGAAAATAATTTGATTAATTGATTTAATTTCAATTAATGAATATTACTGATTATTACTTGTTCTTTTATTAACAAAAGAAAAAAAATGAACATCTTTGAAATTATGTTCCTTCCCATCTGTGAATATTTCGTGCTGAATGCTTCTGACACTGAGCAGAAAACTTCAACTTCATTAGTCTGTCATATAATAAGTAAATTTAAGACATGTCTGCAGTAGGGTAGGTTGATTTGTCACTTTTTTTTAGAAAATCACCATTACAATCTGTGTGAAAACTAGTTTGATGTGATAAGTACTGACACCAAAAATTAGATTCATAGCTTTTGCCAATTTTTTAGCATTTAGGTTTAAACATTGTCTAAAATAAATGTACAGAAATGTCTATGTAAGCAGGTTTTTGCTTATAAACAGACTTCAAAATTTGACTATTTCAAGATTAAATCCGAATAAAGTTGATGTTTTTAGTACTGGATACATTGAATGTAAAATATATTCAAACCAGAATTCTAATTATGAATCATCACAAGCAGAATATGCAATTTTTTCTGTATTTCATAAGTGAAATCTGTAAAAATTGTAAATGATTATGAAAAATGCTCATCAATGAATTTAATCTTACACCTTTTGTTAAGTCATAATTAATAAAAACAAAAAATAGATAAAAGTGTATATAATATCATAATACTGCAGGGCACAAATCAGAAGATAAAGTTTTTTAAAATTTACATGGTTTATTAAAAATCGCATTACAACCAATGCACTGTATACCATATTACATTATAATATAGCTAAATTGTTCAGTATAATTTCACATTGAAGTAAATGGTCTTATTTGATGGCACAATTATTTAGTAATAATGTGTTTGTTCTTTACTTGTCCATATACAATTTGTGAAGCATCAGTAGTTAATTTCACTGCTCGCTCTTCACACCTTGTGAATGTGAAGGTAAATTTAGCAACTCCAATGTTGTTCCATTCATACTTAATTAAATGAAAACCTGCAATCACAGGTTCACAACCTCCATATGATGGAATGTTAATTTGACCAGAGTGTCACTTCGGAGTTGAATGTAATTTTTTTTTTAAATCTCTTCTCTTGTGGCTTACTACTTCTCAGAAGCAAAAAAAAATATTTTTGTGCTGTAGATTTTTTGATGCAACATTCTGTATTTCAGTTGACTGTTGATTTATTCTCTGGATCATGTTAAAGATATAGTTGGTTATGGAATTTATTATCCCTTTTACTTTCAAACCAACTAACTGCATATATTTCAATTATAAATTTTATAAGGTTGTACAATTTATCATAAAGTCCTGGTGGATAGGCACTTTTGGTCCATAAATGCATTAACCTTATGGCGAAAGTTAACCATCTTGCTTGATTTAGAGACCCAATTTTCCAGGCAGCAAATCTAAGGTTCACTTTCCCTTTGAGAAATTCCTGCTGCCTATTCTAAGAGCAGTCTTTGGTCACCACTTGAATCTTCCGTTGCCCCTGCAGTAAGATATAAGTTATCTAGAAGGCCACTGATAGGGTTATATTTTGTTTGGGTTAAATCCTAGTCATCATTTCCACAAAATTTCCCTAGAGGACCAGTAAAAGTAGTAGAGCTTATTGTTGTTCCATCAATGTACTTAAAAACAGCTCTAAATGGAAATTCATTCTAATGAAGTGTACAGCCAATGGTTAGCAACATTCTTTTAAGTTTTTTCTTGAGAGCTATAACAAGGTCTGCCTCACAAGTGTTTGTATTGGTACTGTCTGCAAGAACTGCCTTAACTGAATTTATGCAATTGAATTATTCTAAAACAAGAGTAACCTCCTCTGCTAGAAAAACACCAGTTGCACCAATGTTAGGGATAACTCTGTGGTGGAGATATCTACTTTCCATGTCCATCTCTGGTGAAAGTCAAGTGGTGCGCTGGTCCTTTTGGTGATCTTAAATTGTTTTCACTATTTTCCTCTCGCATCTTTTTGTATTGCAACATGTCCTTATCAACTTTGCAATTAATACCAATGCAGATGATATTTTTACAGTTTCAAACATACTTCTGATGGAAGTTATTTTCACTCCAACCTTTTCTCTGACTGTTTTTGACTTATCAATGATAATGTCCTTTAAGTTAAGGCTTGGATAAAGAAAGCCCATATCTTGTAGGTCTAATAAAATGACATTTGCAAGCCATGCCTCAGGGTTAGAAGATACTGGGTTGGCAACTAAGTTCCTGATGTTTTTTTAAATTTAAATTTTTTAAAAGGTTTAATAAAAAAATAACAACTAATTAATCAATAATGTATTCTTCTTTGTTGTTTACAACTTCTTCCCAACATTCAACAAGATTTTAAATAACTCATTGGTAGAAATCAGTATTGAACAAAAGTCTGAGCATAGCATTTGAAAGAGATCGAAAGAGGTGGTAATCCATTGGTGCCAAATCGGGAGAGTACAGTGGGTGTGGCAACACTTCTCAGCTATGTATTTGTTGAACAGAGTTCCATGTTAACCGTTTGGTTCTGTT